CTTAATATTCTATCGTATGTATATACTACATTTCATTTATCCATTCTTCTACCAATGAATACTTGTGTTGCCTCCACCTTTCAGCTATTGTGAATCATGTTGCTATGATCAAGAGTTGATAAATATCTGTTTGAATATCTGATTTCATTTTGGGGAGGTATATACTCAAAAGTAGAATTGTCAGATCACAGGGTAATTCTACATTTACTTTTTTGAGAACTCGCCATACCATTTTCTACAGTGGCTACACCATTTTATGTGCCCACAAACAGTGCACAAGCATTCCAGTTGTCTACATCCTTGTCAACACTTGTTATTTTCTGTTTTTTTAATAATATTCATTATCCAAAAATGGGTGTAGAGTGGTTTCTCAGTACTCTCAGCTAAACATGTCACTCTTTCCTGTTCTCCTTTCCTCATTTCACCTCTTTTCTTTCTCTTTTGGTCTTCTCAACACTCCCCTCCGCATTTCTTATGCTTACTTTAGTTGAATTAGGAACTAAACTTTTCAAGTACAATGTGTACATTGTATCTTACATAAAAAAAAAAGATGGCAATTAATGAGACTCTCAGTCTCTGCTAAAGGGAATGACAATAACCAACAATTGACTGTCCAGAATAATAGAATAATTTTAAGTTTTATCTTGATCTTTCTGGGCAAGATTTAATTTGCATCTCCTTAAGAGGAGAGAGAATATTCCAGTCTCTAATTATGCTCACGGAATGTTTTAAGGAAGACAGTACAATGCCATTTCTTGTTTACTCTAATTTCGACGTTACATTCAGAGTGATCAGGGAACATCATGGTATTTTACCAGCTGTCTGGCCACTAGGGTTCTATCCTGGCTGACCACACACTTTCTCAGTGGTCTTGGTCAAGTCATTTGACTTTCAGCACTTCAATTTATGGATTTGTAAAATGAGGAGATTAGAGTAATTATCTTGAGGTCACTTTCAGTTCTGGGATCCCCTTTAATATGCAGTGGTCTTCAGTAGCTATCTACTGGGATAACATTTTAGAAGTAAAGAATTAGGTAGCAATCTTGTAAGTAAAAACAATGTAGAAAAATAGATGAGTCCATTGAAAAATATTATTCCATTTCATGTAGCTTTCTGTGGACTAAGATATCATGTAAAATTCACATAAATTAGAATGTAGCTCATTACTTGCTCTCATATAAAACCACACAACAATTTTGTGACAATATTGACAGTCATGGGAAAACCTGAATTTTATCATCTCTAATGTAGCTGTCATCCAAAACTTTGTTTGCCAGCAGAAGTTGTGGTCTTTGAGTGATTTCTTAGTGATCTGGAATTCTTGGTGAATATATCAGGAACCCTGGATAATTCTAGGAAAGTTATGAGAATTTAAAAGCAGAGGTGCATTTTATTTCTCAAGTATCTAAGCGTTGATTCTTCTTTAACTGAACATAAAAGACTGCTACCGGTGAAATAGAACTTCATTGACAAGACTATGATCTTCTGATGTGATTAAAATCTACAGTTGCTATAGTCTAGAAATATCTATACCACCAATTAATAAGTGAATTTTTCACTTATTTACATTTCAGTTCACCAATTCATAAAATCCAAAGCCCTTTTGTTTGTATTATTTTCATGATGGACCAAAACATTATTTACAAACTAGGATTTTGGAGTGAATTGAATAATCCCAACTCTGCTACTTACTGTGTCCTTGGGCAAGCCATTTAGCCTTTCTAAATTTGTCCCATTGTACTCTACAATTCCATAAGGACAAGAATTTAGCACAATATTTGAACTATAATAGATACTCAATAAATATTTACGGAACGAATGAACATTTTGTCGCTCCTAGACACCATACTCTCCTTGCGGCCATCATTGATAAGTGGTTCTGGGCAGTGTTTGGTCTCTACTGGGCCATTTTGCTTTGCAGGGTGTCACTAGCACAAATGCTACACAGCTTTTTTCTAAGCCCTTCGGTTTTCCATTCAGGAGACCCTTCTAAACAGTAAATATCTTGAGGGTCAGAATCTTGTGCTTACCAGCGTATAACTGAATATATTTACTATTTTAGCTTGAAGAGTTAGTTTGTAAACTACTCAACCAAATTTTGACTGGAGCTTTTATGGTTGAAGAAAAGAGAAGCTCCAACAAAATCCCATGCTAATCAAGGATTCATTTCCCATGATCATGCCCACCAAAAACATATGTGAGTTTTTGTGTGGTCCTATTTGTTCAGTTTAAATCCTCTCATTGATGATATAAACTTGGGACATTTTTAGGATATGGAGAAATACTTTTTGCAAAAGTCTAGGAAAGTCAAAGAGAAATAGTGTATTACAAATCTGTATTTAAGGGTAGTGTTATACACTGATATCCTGAATAGAACAAGAATTAAGTGATTTTCTTTGACTGTCATTTTCTCTTGGAATAAAAATCTCTGTAATCCATCATCTGGAAAACTACTTAAATAACATCACCAATCGTCTATTGGCCAGGGAAGGGAGCCACATTGTCTTTTTTGTTTTCTTGTACTTTTCGAGAGAGAATCTGAGTATTTCACGTTGATTGCTTGATTGGCTGCAAAGGGACTCTTTAAAAATACTAAAAAAAACATCAGGAATCCAGTACAAATCAAACATAAACTGCTATCAATCATGTGCTTAGGGCATTATGTGAGGTTTTTACTCAGAAAGATGTCATTAAAAGTTGCAGAAATTAATTGGTGCCATTGAATGTAATGGCCTTTCCTGCCATAGTTTCTCAAATGTAAAGAAAAATTATGGATAACGTAAATTCCTCATGGGATTCTTATAGATGTCTGCTTTGTTCTGTTATTGTTTATTGCAAATGTTATTACTGTGATCTATGGCCCTATCATGCTTTGTCTATACTGCTCTGCTATTCTGCAGCCCACAACAACGGAGGACTTTACTCACAAGCTAAGACTGTGTTTATTTGGAAATTCTTTGCTTTATATATTCCAAAAGTGTCTCAAGGTGTTCATTTTGTGTGTTTAAATTTTTATACAAAAACAGATTTGTTCTGATTGATTAAATATTGACTTACGCCATTTTTAGAACAACTCTGAATCTTATTTAAGTTCAGGGTTTGTGTTCAGCTTTCCCAGAAGGTTTGCATTCAGCGTAATAATGGCTATTACTTTGTGTGAATCGATGCATCGGGATTTGCAATCTTTCTCAATAACAATGTTGGCTTAATTAGCAGTGGCTTAAAAATTTGACTCTTAATTAAGGAACAATTTTGTTTCTCTGAAAGAAGTTTAAGGAAAAGGACCTTCTTTTTTGCATATTAAAATGTTTTTATACTACATAATCTGTGACTCCCTATCTAAGTTATATTACATTTTTATCTATCACTAAAAATTAACCTTTTATTTACAGATAAATTTATTTTAAAAGCTATTTAAAAGCTGATACATTTACGTTAAAAGATGAGGCTTTACCGGTTATTTCAGCAGCAGCCTTAATGAGTTTGCTCCTGTTAGGCATGGCCTAACAGACATGTCATGTCACAGACATCACCACAGCATCGATGGGCCTTAAAAATAGAGGCCCTAATGAATATAAAATAATGCCATAGTTCTTGCCATAAAGATAAGCTTTTCAGAACACACCAAACACACATGACTCCTCTGCTTAGAAATAAGGCAAAGGGAGGGCAATTAGGCAACTGTGAAACCTTCTTCCCTTTTGTAAGCATTGAATTTCCATAAGAACTGAGCACAAACCTCCCACAATCCCTCAGGGCGCTCCTCCAGCACTGCCCATTGGCCCCTGGGCTTGGTAGAGAAAGTGCCTCCTGGGTGTGGCTGAGTGGGTTTGGTATATCTCTAGGCTTGGTGTGTGTCCCAAGGCAAACTAGAAACTCGCCTCTTACGTTCAATAGAGGTGTCTCTGTGGTCAATATGAGCACCGGGTGCTTTCGGCTCACCACACCACTGGCCCTCTGTCTGCCTGCCACTGCTCTGGCTTCTCATACTCCACGCTCCCGTCTCAGGGAAGGGACAGACCTGCAGCTTGGGCTCCATACAGTTTCCTTTCCTTTTTGTCTCTTCTTTGCTGCCTCCTTTCTCTAGTCATGTACAGTAAGATTTCCTTTCTAAACTTGTCAGCTACTCTTTAGGTTTAGTAATATCCCAGGTTGTATCTGTCCACCGCAAGCAATATGGATCAAGTGCACCTCTTCTCAGACATCTGAAAGGCTGCCCTTTTTGGGCTCCTTCCTAGTGATATCATGTGGATGATATGATCAACTACATCTTCAAAGAGCAATGAGTTTCTAACTGCCTACCTATTCTTACATATTATCATTTTAAGTTAAAAAAGTTTTCTAAAATGTAAATTTTAATCCATGTCATCGCAAACTAAGATTTATGGCTCAGTCACGAATCAAGTAGATAAAGACCCATACATTTATAGTACTTTTTCTGCATATTCTTAACATAATAGAAATTTTGTGTAAAAATTCAGATCTCTAGGTCTTCTAGAAAATCTGGAAGATCTTGCAACACTGAACATGTATTCCATCGTGGCCACTGCCAGCTGGAGCTGAGTCATGGCTGTTCCCTGTCGTGTGTTCCCCTGTTCCTTGTAGTCTCCCCAAAAGAGAAGGTGATCTCTTCTGAATCTTCTTGTAAAAATAAAAGGAAAAAAAAGGTGAGGGTGAATTTTCATTGTCCTTTATCATTTTATGCCTTGACCTGTTCACTGACCTGTCCCCTCTAGTCATCTGAGTTTGCAACCTTTGGCTATAATTTCTACATCTCCAGATGGGACCACGATCAGTTCAGTAAAGGGGCTGCTCCCTTGGCTTTATCCACACTCAGAATCAAACTGTTGGTGCCCATCACAAGGCAGAACCTGCCCTATTTCATAGGGGAACATTGCAAAACATAGAAGACTTTATGGAAATCAAGACAATAAAATACATGCTGAGAATGACTTACTAAGTTATGACTAACCTGTCCTGCCTAAGAGCAATGTACTTACCCATATATACATTAAGTATTAAAACAGTAGTCAACCTTTTCTGGGTTCTGGACACATTTGAGAATCCTTTCCCTAGAAGAAAATACACCTTTATACAACAACATCAAAACAGTTTCCAAAGGTTTCTAGTCTCCCTGAGAGCATCTGAGAAACCCAAGCTTCACAGATCTAAGGAGTGGGCCCATTCTCTAAAAAAAAGACACAGAAGTTCTGCTATTAGAGTCCCTTCACTCTCACTAGAGAACCTGCAGATTAACTGTTACCTAATATGTCTAAGTGCATACTTCTTGGTTCCATCTGGACCCTTCTGTATGTCCTCCACTGTTGGATCTCCCTACCTTCTGTTTCTTACTCTTCACCCTGCCTGCACACTTCATCAAGACATATCTCAGTTCCTCCAGAGGTTATGCACAGAGGCTAGGATGCCTTCCAATTTGCACTGCAAATGTGGCTGACCTGCGCTGGGGCCATCTCGGGCCCTCCTATCTGCAAGGCTGTGCCCACCACTTCTCACTGCAAGATGAGAGCTGCTCCCCTGGCCAGGGTGAAGGGAGAAGATTTTACAACTCTGCCGAGGGGGGCAGCCTCTGCTGAGAGCAGAAGCTAAGGAGAGATCTGTGCAAATACCATTGCACTTCCTGTATAATGTTGCAGAACATTTTCTTGGTAGCAAGAGCTCAAATGTGGCTGCTGAATTACTCTCTACTCAGTGTCCATCTGGGTTGTACAGAGATAACCTTAGATAAGTACTCCCCGCAATGAAAGTGAGAATAACAGCCAGTAACCTATTGGCTTCTGTGAAATGCACTGACACTGGGGCTGGCTTGAGGCTTTGAAATATTAGTATTATGATGTATCCAGTCAAGCCACGTAGAATCCTACGTCCACACCTTTCCTGCTGACCAATTCCCCAGCCCTCCCCCAACCTTTCCAGTGTTTTCCAAGTTTAGCATTGCAGCTAGGCAGATAGGCTATGAGATCCTGGATAAAATAACACAAAATCAACAATATATTTTCCCTTAAGCTTTTTTTTCTTCATAAAACTGCTGCCAAGCAGTTCTGAATAAAGTAGGTTACAAGAAACAATCATGAAATGAGCTCAGAAAAAAAATTAAGGAAATTAATTTTTTTTATGTAGTTTCTCCTATTTTCCCTGTAACATCAAGTCTTTAATCTTTGGCATGATAACCTCCTGCCGTGTGACAGTTGACATGGCTTCTGTTTGATGATGATGCCTTTTGAAGGGTCATGCCCAAATTCACAGTTTCTTCAAGGGCTCAAGATTGCTTGCGCTTTTTGATGTTTTACCTGGCACAGGCCTGATAAGCAGATAGATGGCCATGATAAATGAGTGTAATGGGAAAGTGATAAGAATTCAGGGGTTTGGCATGAGTTATGTCCTCGTTCATGCAGAAGTGATGACTCTCTTATCTTTAATTTCTTAATTACACACAAAAAAATGCCTATCTAAACAGAGAGAGTTCACAAAACATTTTGTGACTGTTACCTGAGATCAAATACCCTGCTCTAAGATCCTTTTCTTGTTATCGAGTGAGGGTTTTTTTTGTTGTTGTTATTATGTTCATTTTGTGTTGTTGATAGAGTTTTTAATAAAAGATAACATTCCCTATTAAATATTGACATGGTTTTCCTTTAATAGAAACACTTTGTTACTGAAATAGCAAACAAGCAAAAACTGCCATCTAGCATGGGCATCAGCAATGTGCTTTGCATAAGTGAAGATTCCGGCTCCCCCTTCCCTCTGCCTGCAGCCAGCCCCAGCGCACAGGAGGGTCATCTCCTCTGGCCTCACTGCCAACGTCCTCGGCTTGCACACAAATGTAGATTCTAACTCAAACCTATTCCTCAGGCTCCCCTCCCCCTGCTTCTGCTTGCAGACAGAAAGGGTTCAAATCCACTCTCATTCACCGCTACTCTCAGGTAGCACACAGGGGCCTTGGCAGACGACGATGGAGAGGAGAGCATGGCCATAGTTCGCGTTTGTGCCTCTGAGTGACACACCCTTCCCTCCTTCTTTCTCCTGTGTGCTGACTTCAGCTGCCCCCTCTTTTGTGAAATGTTGTCCCTTCTCTTTGATTGAAACTAAGCATTTCCTTCTCTGTTTCCTGTGGCATTCTGCTCTAGCAATGGGATGAAGGAGAGCATGGATACTGGGGTCTTCAGATCTAGTTAAAATTCTGGCTCTGCTACTTACTAGCTACAGGATCTTGGGCACATTACTTAACCTCTCTAAAGTCCCATTCTCTCATCTATAAAATGGGGGTAGTAACAATTCTTTATAGGACTGCTGCGATGAGTACATGAGATAGAGTATAAGTATCCAAGACAATGCCTGGAACATAGTAGTATTTTATCAATGTTAGATCCCCATCTGCCCCATAAATATTGCACTGGCAGGGATATCTTCCTGCAATGAAGTCCCACAAAGGAGAAATATAATAAACTATTGCATGTATGTTAAATTGGTCACTTACATTGTAAAATATAAGAAAATAATGGGCATATTTGTTTCTTGTCTGTATATATTCTTTTTTCTTTTGAGTTAGAAAAAATAAAGGCAAATACTTGTGTAACTCAACTGACTGTGTCATTTGAATTGCATCACCTAGGCTTGGAAGTGTTACTCCTCAATATATAATCCATTAATTTTTTCCCTGTATAATTAAGATTCGCTAATGAAGATAAATTTTATGTCCAAATAATCTAAGTTAGAAATATGTCTTTAACTATAAATAGCCCCCTTGTGGTTATCCCCTTGTTTATTTGACTTTGCACTGTGGCTGGTCATTTAGGCATCGACTGTAAGCTCCTAGAAAGCATGCCACAGTCTCTGTTTTTCACAAAGCTCCTAGCACAGTGACTTGTATCCTAGGATTAATTAATTGTTCTATCACTCCTGTAAAAGAGAAGACTCAAAACAAGTGTGTTGGGATGTAGAAGTGACTCTTCTAAGCAGGAAAGAGTTAAGTTTGCTTTAACATTCCACGCCTTCTCTTTCTTTGCATGCATTTCCCAGGTTTGCATCATTTTTATTCCACCCTAAGGATGGCTCTACAGTCCCTAGAGTCAGTCCTCCTGGTTTTGTAGAACTCAAGTCCCCACCCCAGCTTATTTCCAATATGACATTAAGAAAGTCCTCTTCCTTTCTAGACCACAGTGTCTTCCTCATATCCAAGTCTTGCGTTTTAGAGATGGTTTCTAAGATCCTGTAGTTCTAACACTTTTTGACAAGCATGAAAATCCACCTTGTGCATTTGAGGAACGCTGCTAGCTTGGCCTGCCAAAGGGCCCTTACCTGAAACTCCTAGGGAATCACATCCGACACTGGTGCTGTGGGCAGCAAGAGGGTGCGATGACTTGCACAGACCACCAAGGGCCTTACAGACTTCCCCCTCGTGCAAGCAGGAGTGATAGAGGCTGCAGAATCTACTAACTTCCGCCCCACTGTTGCTGACAAGGCCACCCAGCTTGTCTCTGGCATCACTTAGCAGCTCAGATTCAGAATCTTCTCTCTGACAGCTGCAGAGAGAAGTCATAGAAAAGTCAAGCTTGTTCTGGGTTTGGAGGAAAAAAATGATTAAAGGGCTTTAATCCTAATTACTCTGGCTTAATATGTTTTCTAACATGGAAATGATATTCTGTACTCTTCCATAAAAACACAAAGAAACTTAATAAAAGCCAATTTCCCTGGATCCCTACTCCCTCCTAAATGAAAAGTAATGTAGCCAGAAATCAGCACAGTTTTCGGCACATGGTAAACCCATGATAAAGTTTTGATGATGAAATAAAGAACACACTCTTAACACTGTTTCCATCACCTAAAAGGTTATGTTCATCAAAGTCTTCTTCCTGTGATTAGTGGCTTTACCTCCATTTTAAACCATCACTTATTATCCCTATAAAAGCCAGTTCTCAACATACCCCTTTTCATGGTACAACACTGCTGGGCTTTTTCCTTTAAAAAAGTCTTTATCTTTTGCTTTTATAGTGAACAGGTCCCAAACTATGTGAATAAAAATATTGCATGCAATTCTGGTTTTTAATTTGGAAATAGGGCACATCTTCAAAACAATAAAGAAAAGAAATATAGAGGTAAGAGTGCAGAGAGGAGAAACCTATATATAAATGGCATCTTCAGGAATGCAAAAAGAGAATATTTTATACAAATAATTATTCCAATTTCTTTAGTTGCCTTTCAAACCAAGATTTGTTTACTGGAGGCATTACAATTTAGTGAGACAAATTAGACTAAACTTTTTTATCTCGGGTGGTTTGCACATGCACTGATTGAACTAGTATTTCTTCCAAAGATTGCCTGGGAAGATAAATGAACAGGAGGGGCAATTAGGGTAAGGAAAAACTAAAGATTGGCTGACATGATTTAAGTTTACCACGAAGGCAGTTTGTCATTTTGTCTCTATAATCTCTATCAGAATTGACTAAAACAGTAAACATAAATCATTATACTAATTTATTTCACTACACTGTGGGCTGGGAAAAGAAGATTTCATTTTTTTCTGAGAGACTTTGGGGATTCAGGCAGCCACTTTGAGCTTATTTTCATTTATATGTTGGGAGGAAAAAAATGAGAGAATCAAAGATGAGTACCTCGGGTTCCTCAAAAATGATATTTTTTGGTGGCAAGCCAAGTTATTTTTATTACACTATGCTAAAATAACTATGGGTTGTGCATTAAATGCAACTCAACATTGATTGTATTTTTTTTAAAGAAGCAAAACTTAATTCCTAAGGTAGAGATGCAATCAAATGTACTGCCAAAGTGATTTTTCACCTAGTAGTTAATAAGGCTTTAAGTTTCTTCTCTGAAGAAACCTCTGTGACCACAGAGAGTCAGAATGCCATGAATTGTCTGGAAGTTCTTTATGGAACATCAACATCCTTGAAAATTAGGGCTGCAAATATGCTCTCTGGACGTAGAATGCAGCACTGCTGACTCACCGAAACAGAAGCACCATCAATGGGCCCTTGGACATATGGCCCAATTGGCTCCTTGAATAAAATAGGAGCCATTGATTAAGCTATGGAGGTTACACACACACACACACACACACACACACACACACTTGTGTGTGTGTGTATATGTATACACATATGCATACACATATACACATATCTTCCACAAAGTTTATATTTATTATATACGCATATTATTATATGCATATAATATACATATAATATGTTATACATATATAATAAACATAAAATTTAAAAAATTATTAGAAGTATGATTATCATAATTTCTCTAGTTTCAGGGAATTGCAAAGCTATAAACAATATACACACAATGCTCACTATACAAAATATTTTACTGAGCATCCTCTCCTGGAAACCCTTTGCATAAGGGAAAGAACCAAGTGAGTTTTAAAATGTAAAACTTCTTGTCCTAAGGTAAAGTACAAGCTAGTATAGGAGGCAAGAGTAAACATCAACGACCATATGAATGGCGGACTATGTAAAGGCAGAGTCTAAAGTGTTCCCGGGCTAGTTAGTAACAGGCAGCTGGAGGCAGGGATGGAGATCTCACCTGACCCCTGTAATGAGGTGGCAATGAACGTGGGTCTCAAAGGATGGCTATGATTTCAGCCGGTGGCAATAGTTCTTTCAAGCCAAAATCAGTAAGAGAAGTAACAGTACAGGGGATGAGAAGTTTGAGACACTTTTGGCCAATGCAGGGGGACACTGGCTATGCCAGGGCTCCAAGGATGTGCTACTCCTGGGAGTTACCGGGACCATGAGGGTAAGCTTGGTCAGGATCGGATTAGGATTCCTACCCTCATTTAACCAGTTCAAATTTACTTTTTGTTCCTTTTTATATTGAGGGTGAGGTCTGTAATATTTAGCTTGGAAAAAAGTGGGCCCACTGCTTAAAAACAAAGCACACACACACACATATGCACATATGCTAACCACCGAGTGAGGCATTGGAGAATATTAACTCTGAGAACAATGTTGCATTTCACTGGTCAGGAGCCTTGAATGCTAATCTAAAAAGGAGTTCTGAACTTTATTTAGCAGAGGACAGAGAGCAACTGAAGATTTTTACTTAAGGAAATGACAGTTTCAAACTATGCCTTAGAAAAATTAATCAGCAACTAACTGGGCTTGAAATTAAAGTAGATAGGGATCTATTTTCCCTAGCCTTAAAAAAGGATTACAAAGTTCTACACTAGTATGCAAATTGAAGGAAGTGAAATGGTAGGCAGATGCAAGACATGCTGTGGGGTCACATCAAGCCAAATTACACACCAGAAGAATGCGGCCATGATGACTAGAAACAACTTCAGATAAGCACAAAAATTGAGGGGAAGATTATAAATTCACTTTGGGACATTGAACTTGAGATGTTGTATGGGCACCTAGACAGAGATGTTCAACCAAGAGTAAGAAATCCTAGTTAGAAATAGGGTGTGGAAACTATGAGACTAGACATTTTTGTGCTTATTGAATTGAATTTGTGTTAGTGAATTATTGTATTTCAGTTCTGCCTCTTTCTATAAGGAGATGGAGAAAAAGGAACCAACGGTGTAAGCTCCAATTCAGTGCCCGCATCCTGCTGGCACTGCATGTTACCTCATTTAATTGTGACAACAACCCACCAATTTACTACTGGCCACAGCCACATTTTATAGCAACAACATTACTCGGTGGCAGAGGTAGGATCTGTATAGACCTGAAACTCTTTCTAAGACAACTTGCCATCTTTGGAAAGATATGAAATAGTTGCTTAGAAGGAAATTTTAGGTCCTCTCTTAAAAAGGTAAAAATGGAAGCAGATGAAGATGCTAAGGGGAAAAGTATAAAGTAGGCGTCCTCAAACTACGGCCCACAGGCCACATGCGGGTGTTTTTGCCCATTTGTTGGTTTTTTGGTGTTTTTTTTTACTTCAAAATAAGATATGTGCAGTGTGCACAGGAATTTGTTCATAGTTTTTTTTAAACTATAGTCCGGCCCTCCAACGGTGTGAGGGACAGTGAACTGGCCCCCTGTTTAAAAAGTTTGAGGACCCCTGGTATAAAGAATGATTAAGGGTTAAGCAAAGAAACTTGGAAGATATATAAAAATAAAGATGAGTTATAGAAAACAAGGGTTGCCAACACCTTGTTGTATTACAGAGAGGTTAAGGAAGATGAAAACCAAAAGTGGCCATTGTATTTGGTCCATAAAAAATTATTAATGTCTTTCAAGAAGGAAGTTTGCTTATAACAGTGAGAACGGATGCCAGATTATAAGTGGCCATAATGAGATAGGAAGAAAAACTTAGGCTTAGCTACTATGTAATATTCTTCAAAAAGTTTAACACTGAAGAGAAAGAAGGAACCACTATCTTACAAGAGAGTAGCAAGTTTAAGGAAAGGACTTTTTGTTTGCTTGTTTTTTCTTATCAAAAGGAGGCTTTTACCATGTTTTCATTCAGAATAGAAAGCAGCAGAAAAAGAAAGCTTAAAGATCCAGGGATAACTGATAGAGCAAATGTCAGAGCAGCAGAAAGGACTGGTTTTAGAAGTGATGGGAGAGAGTCAGAGAGTAAACCTTGCAAAATAAGGGCTACGCTTCCCCTAGGGAGAAACAAAAGAAAACAAAACAAGGACCTCTCTGAAGGTACAGAGTAACGATGATATAATGAGCAAGAAAGCCATGAAGACATTCAGGAAGAGCAGTCTCTGACCAAGAGAAGCAAAGGGGAAAGGTTTCACCTTAATGTAACCTCTTTGCTCCAATAACAGATATATTAATACATAAAGAGAAAAAATAAGCAAAACCAGCTAGATTCAAAAACAAGATTAACCACTGTATGGATCATAAATATAGCATTTAGCAGAGCTGACACTGCAGGTCTGTGGGTGTCCAAATCCAAAATCAAACAGAGATGGCTAGGAGCTCAGCTTCTATGAGGTCCCAGGAACTAAAAGTTGTCCATGTGATTAAAACTCAGTTCACTCCTTGAAATCAGGGGTTATCATGGGGCTCCCCTAAAGAGGCAAAGGGACTGAAGTGCTCTGTCTGGAGCTACAACTATGGCATGGTGGTGGGTGGACAAAGACCTAGTCCAAGAAACAGGAATTGCTGAGTAAGTGACATCTTTGATAGTTTCAATGTCATCACAGAAAAGAATCTTGAAACACCACCTGTTTCTACACTATGAACCCCAAAGGGCCAGGAAAAAGCAAACATAAATCTAATGGGTATAGGGAGGAAGAATTAACAGACACAGAGAGAGAGAGATATCTCATTCAAAAGCAGACTGAAACAAAAGCAAAAGTAGACAAGTGGGACTATGTCAAACTAAAAGTATTCTACTCTTTAAAAGAAACAATCAACAGAGTGAAAAGGTGACCTACAGAATTGGAGAAAATATTGACAAATCATACACCTGATAAAGGGTTAATGTCAAAAATATGTAAGAAACTCAAACAGCTTAATAGCTATAACCCAACTAAAAAATGAGTAAATGATTCGAACAGCTATTTCTCCAAAGAAGATATACAAATGGCCAACAG